AACGTCTGACCTTAATCCATAGAAAACATGTTTGGTTTGACAGCTAAGTAGGACAGATATTCCTGTAATTTTAAATCCACAAAATTAATAACTCTTTATATAAACTTATCGGAAATAATAGTTCTATATATATGTAGTAATTTGGGTATTTTTTATAAAATAAATTTTTTTTAATTATGTTTATATTTTCCGAATCTAATATATAAGAAAAACTGTTGATGTTGCCAGTTATAGAGACTGGATGTTATACTTTTCACCATTGGGTAAATATTTATTTGCCATATGTACGTATGTATGTAGGTATTTATTTATGTAAATAGCATTAAATATTTATTAGTTGACATACTGCCGTTGGCTAGCATAGTATTTACCATTTAAATTAAATTAATATTAGAAAACAATTGAAATGATTGTGCGCCGATTGCTTTAGTGATGACACCAACTTAATCAATATGTAATCATAATTATTATCCATAAGTATGAATTTATGTATGCAAAACAAAAAAAAAAGAATGCGAATATATGTATATATGAACAACCTACCATTGACATTATGATTTACTGCTGTGAAGGTCTTTACACTAACGATTGCCCATCACTTTCGCAGCACTTCAACTAGCCATTGATCGGCGTTTCATTACATCAGCTCCAATGAGAAGTGATTCGTGTTTTGATTAATGTTGGATATGTGTATACATTTATGTCATTTACATGTGATTGGCATCTAAAATGTAAAAATTAATTGGTAATACGATATGTTGTTTCAGGAAAAAATATTTTTTGTATGTGAAATAAAAGCGATTATATATATTTATTTATACAGGAAATAATTATGAAATTTCGTTAAATTATTTTAAATATTTATGTTGGATCTTTGAAAAAATTGTATTGTTATTCTTTTAATATAAATGTTTTTTAAGTAATAATATTTTAAAATTAAATTTTTATGCGAAATAATATGCCACAAAGAGCATACATTTTTAACAAAACTAACGCTTTGAGGTATTAATCCATCATGTGATACAAAAATATTCTCATATAATATGTAAATTTTTATAACAAATATTTTTATAATTTCTTTTTGTATGTAAATCAATACCTGCGCAATTATACCAGATTCGGCGGTGTCATTCAAAAACTCCTGCATCAACTTTCACAACACCGTAAATATGTGTATGCAAGTATTTCCTGGTATTAGTTTTCACACGCTGACAGCTAAAAAAAACTCATATTTCTAATAGAACTAACTGTATTTTAATAGTTGGTGTTGACGTAAATAATTGCTATTGATTGATGAGCAGAAACAATTAAAAATAATATTATGATACAGTAGTTCTCGGATATAACAAACATTCAATTCTACGAAATTATAATTATAATGAACAAAGCGATTTTTAGCTCCATTCAATAAAAAGAAATACTCGAACTGAGCCGGTTTCGTCCGTAAGTGTTTAGGTTGTAATTATCAGATTTTCAAGTATTTCCGGTAAAGAAGTCGAATGTGTAAGTTAAAAGCAAAGCGGCACAAGTAACATTCATTTAAAATAAAATAAAGGGTTTTCCAATATGGAGTGTTATTTTCAAAAGCTTGCTAATCCCGTTAATGTCACTTTTGAAGCTATAATTTTTTGAAATTTAGCAAATAAAAACTATCCCAGTAATAAAAATTCATTATAAAAATTTCAACTTTACTGACGAGACCTATTTCTACCTCGATGGCTACGTCAATAAGCAAAACTGTCGCATCTAAGGCTCAAAAAACCCTAGAATCAATATTGAAAAGCATCTCCATCCTCAATGAGTGTGGTTTATGAGCCGGTCACTTATTCCCAATCGAGAGATGGGAATCGGATGGTACGGATCTGGACAAGGTTTACTTTAAACAACACGGCGATACGTGCCACATAGTACCGTTTCTTTGAACTTCAAAATAAAACTTCTTGTTGGAAAACTTGTAAATAAATTCTTCCAAAAACAGTGAAGGAGTAATAAATTTGTGAAATAAATGAAATATTGAAAAACGATCTCGATTAAAGACATTAATGCTTTTCGTTGCATACCAAAATGGAGTATTGTCTATCAGATTACCTCTACGGATGAGGACTTCAATAGTGGGCCCACGGTAAGGCATACTAATCATAAGTGGCGACTAAAATCCAATACCTGCCGTGACCGTCGGACTTACACCGCACCGACCCGGCCAAAGTTTGTCGCTCCCCCTTAATTCGCCAGACAAACGATTTGTGGAATATTTTTGTAGTTACAACAACAACATTGTCAATTAGTGTAACCTAAACTGCTCGCTTACATTTTCTATTTACTACTTCTTAAGATATTCGAATAATGCCGACGAAGAATGATAATGAGCCAAGTTGGAGCCAAAATATTAACAGGTGTTCCTAGGAAAGCAAATCTGGTAACATAAAACTGAACAGGAGGCGAGCTGGGAATTAAAAATTGGTAAAAAGTTTATTCGAATGCTTTCTCCGCATTTGGTAATGGATTACTGAGGATTCAGAGCTGGCTTTATCTAATTTGTTCATTGCTTTCGTTATCACTTGTACTCCAATATAAAAATAAACACACCTTTTTTCATTTAAAATAATTTATTTTTGAGATAAATTTGACAGTTCAACGCATCGTCCTAAAATCTTCACAGAATAATCTTCTTAGACACACATATACCAGAGGTATTGAAGAAAAAATTAAAATTCGGAAAATTAATTATTATCATTAATAAAAAAATTTTAGCTCATTAATATTTATATTAATTATTTTAACCCGAAACATAAAAGGCATCCTTCATATGAATTTAATAAAAATTCATGAGAAATATTTTAGTGAATATTTAAGGTTATAGGAATACTTGGATCCTATCAGTCAGTTTATGCACATATATGGAAATCATAACCTTTTAGCGTTCAGCAAGTGGGCGATTTCCGACTGAAATATGATTCTCCCGTTTTTTTTGTACAATATAAGAGACCAACAATGTAAAGCCACATCTAGACGACTGATGGATTCCATGATAAAAATATGGTTGGAGAAAATAAAGTAATTGGAAAAACTCATAATCATTAATTATAAAAACCTTTAAATTCTATAAGTTTAAAAATGGTAAACTTTCTCCGGGCGTCTGAAAACCATTGTTACAAATTTTCAATTTTTTATAGGATGAAAACATACTCATATTTATTTTCTTCAGTGTAAATTTTCTAAGCTCAACTTGAAGCTTTATACAGCCTAAATGTAGACTTTGATTTTCAGTTTTACCAATATTTGCCATATATATTATATTTGAATTAAGCCACTCGGTGATGTTTATACTATGAATAGTTAGATTGAGCATCAGTAGACGGTTTTGCCTAAAAGCTGGTTCTCATTTTCACTTAAATGCAACTGAGTTTCCGTTTAAACTCATATGTGCGGTTACAAATACATATAAGCACATGTATATGTGTAAAATTAAAAAACTGACGTCTTGAACAGATTATAGCCTTGAATTATTTAATATTCGCCAATATTTGCCTTTTTGAAGCTAAATTATTCTTACAAAAATATTTATATTACACACTCAAAATAACAGTAATTTCTTAAAAAAAAAAATACCTAAGCAAACTGAACATTGGTAAAGTAAAAATGTTGGCCCAGTCCTGTTTGATGACTTCACAAAAAAACTAAAAAAAATTAATTTCAACGCTACATTCAACATTACGTGGTGGAATGACATTACAATCTGCCGCAAAACCATGCACACATGGCCGAAATGGAGTCAGAAGAGATCACGAGATTTGTAACATGACATGGCCACTGTCTGTCAGGATGACAAACGGAAAACTGGACGACTAGGGGCTCCCTACAGAAGATGCTGCAGAAGCTGCAAGGAAGATGAAGAGGGGTAGACACGATCACTCATCTCTTATTCAACTGTCCTGCTTTGAGCAGTGCGAGGTTTAGTTATTTTGTGCCTTTACTGCTGGATGATCTATCGAACATAGTTGACGGCAAAGCCATGGATCTTATGTGGTCACATTAGACAGCCAAAATGGATGGATGATGAAACCTGAAGGTTTAAGTTTTTGTGGTATCGCAAGGGAATTTAGTCAATCCTAGGTGAGTCCGAATGGATAGATCGATAACCACTGCAACCTAACCTAGCCCTAATATTGTCAACAAAACTTTCTGAGTTTCCTAATTCCTTATTATTATAATTATGTGGCATTACAAATTGATTCGGTCCGATTTATTGTTCTAAAATTTTTTTATTTAAAAATAATATTCATCAATTTAAGGATTGGCTAACAGAATCCTTCTGATATTTTTTAAATGTTACGCTAAAAAATATGTCTTACTTTTCATGGGTTCAATCATTGAGCCATTCGTGACCCCCAAAGAGAATTGCATCCATCAAAATTGTCACTAGTTGGAAGGAGCAAAGTATAAAGAATACGGAATGTGGGATGAGACCTCCCATTACAGCTTGTCCAGGCAGTTTTTGACTATTACGGTTGCGTGGGATCGAGCCTTGCCATGTTGCAAAATCACATTGTCATTGCTTTCGGTTGTTTCTGGCCATTCACACGCAATGTAGGACTAATACGCATTAGTTGTAGTCGATAGCGTCTCGCATTAGGGGTTTTGCGTGGTTTTAGCAGCTCGTAGTTCAGTAGTAGTCCTAGTCTCACTAATACACTCTTTGCAAGCGTCAGTATGACTCACCGGTTAGGGCAGATTCACCATAAACTTCCAAAAGCATTCGATGAGCTTCACATGCACTTATCCTCCTATTGAATCAGAACATCAAAACTTCTCGCAAATTCTGCTTACTCAACACAAGTCCACACATAAAACTATTGTGATATGTAAAATAATTAATTGCTCACAAGATTGTCAACAACAACTTTTAGGTGGAGTAATCTTTTGAAAACCATCCACAGAGGTAAAGCGAAATTGTAGCGCACTTCCCAAACTCTATCGCCAGCACATTAAAATATCTTATGTTTTTTATGTAACGGTTTTCTTTACTCTTGTTTTTTGTTTTTGTTTTGGTAGCTTACACTAAGGACTAACAACTGATCACACTGATCTCACACCGTTTAACAATAACAACACCATGTTAGTAGCAATCAGGGCAGCTGTTAGAGGTAGGACGACTAGGATCAGGATTTAAAGGAGGGGACAAACAAAAATTTTCTTTTAAGGGAATTTTTACGGAATTGTTAATTTGAAAAAAAAAAACTAAAAAAAAAATTAATTAAGTATTCAGCAACTTAAGCTTCTGGGGCAACGGGCAAATGAGCGCCTTGTGGTTGGAAACCGTTCTCATCGGCAACATAGTTGACAACGTAGGTCTGACCATCATCAGCGACGAAGGAGTATGAGCCACGGACAGCGATAGCCTCGTTTTCGGAACCTTCGTTGTGCAATTCACCTTGAGCGTCCTCCTTGATACCGTTGCTGNACTTAAGCTTCTGGGGCAACGGGCAAGTGAGCGCCTTGTGGTTGGAAACCGTTCTCATCAGCGACGTAGGTGACGGTGTAGGTCTGACCATCATCCATCAGCGACGAAGGAGTATGAGCCACGGACAGCGATAGCCTCGTTTTCGGAACCTTCGTTGTGCAATTCACCTTGAGCGTCCTCCTTGATACCGTTGCTGGTCTCATAGCTGGGAACAAAAAAAAAAATTAAAAAATTAGTAAAAATCCGTGAGACTCGCAGGACTATGTAATCCTTTGGTGGTGGTGTGCCACTCATTTGACTGCTGTTGGTAACTTACTTGTATTTGAAGGCGTTGGGCTGAACATCCGAATCGAAACGGAGGGTCTCGGCATCAGAATCAGCTGGGGCTGCGAAAGCGACAGCGAAGAGAGCAACGAAAACAATGACGAATTTCATTTTGATTTTTGAAGATTTGGCGATTGGCTCTATGAGACTAGCAAATTGCGAATGTTGACAAAGTGAGGGCGAATGTTACCATTTATACTGTTTGCCTCAACTATCTTGAATGATGGTAAAACTAGTTAGTTTTTAATATTTTTTCCTAATTCATCTAAAATGCAAATGTTCAACGCCTGTTCCGTCACAGCAACTGCCTCTACTATACTCTGTACAACTTCCATATTGTTTTTTTTTTTTTTTTTTGTTTTTTGTAGTATTATTTTATAATCAAAGCAGCAAACTAACAAATTAGCTAAAAAAAAAATTAAATAAGCAGGCGGTCGACATTAACGTTTATTTGCTTTATTGTTGCTAGTTCGAGCGGTTAATAAGAATCAGCCAAAACTACAACAAAAAAATGGCTGCTAAAAAAACTCGATTATGGAAATTAACACAGACATTTACGCACTGATATTTAGACATATGTATGTACTGCTATCAATAAAATACGTATATAGAAGACGGAACAACGTTGGCTACAGTTTGACCCCAATGGTAACAGATGCGCTGGCGTTGCTTGAGAATCGAGAGCGCGACGCGTGTGAAAAACTTGATATGATGATCGCTGGCAAATCTACTAAATTCAAATGGGTTTTGTTTGCTGTTTTTTTTTCTCGAAATACAAATACATTCTTATAATTAAACTTTATATACAGGAAAACTGCTTTTGTGAATAAATAATTAAAAATACAAAAATTTATTCTAATACTAGTATTTATATTATATTTGTATGTATGTATTTGAGGTTTATATACTTTGATGTATTTAGCATAAAAGAAAGGGCGGTTTGAATTCTAGTTCTGTAAGGTAAACTTAAATCGCCCTTTGCAGCAATCAAATCAACCATTTTATTATGTAACTAAGGCAATGACTTTTGAAAAATTTTAATGCCATGTTGGTCATAAAGACTAGCTATAGTATTAGTTTGCTAATCATATTGAATAGTACTGTACAAAATTTTTTATAAATATATATATTTATATTTACAGTTATATTTTATAATAGTAACAACCATATAAAAATGTGCTGCGTTTATGTGCGTAGTGGAGATTTCCTTCCAAATCTTGTCATTAATATGTGTTAACGACGCTTCCCCAATTACTCTCTTCGTCTGTGAATCCTTACACCAGTAGATTAATTCTCTATCGTATTATAACGATTTTCGGATTGTGATAATGACTTAGCGATCATTTTGACGATTTTAATATTCGGTGACTTATTTGAACGAAATTCGCAAACAACTCGACAAATCACTAACTAAGTGACGAATAAGAATCAGCCAAAACTACAAGTTTTTAGCGACATCGCCAAAATATTGTTATTTCATTAAGATTAAGATAAAATAAAGTAAATCGGAAATTGATTAAATTATACAAAAACCAAAATAAAATTATAAATGAAAATGGCTTTTGAGTGTCTGGCATACGTTTTATACCGAGATGAGCAGCTATCGTATACTTCATCATTGCATAGAATTTTGCTTCGGGAAGTGGAAGATCCTTTTCGCTTGAACGCAAATGAGTTTCAGAAGATATGCAGATTAACGCCGATTCTTTGCAACTGGATGATTTAAATGTCTGTATAGAGCGCATTGCGCATTGAGGAATACCTATGAGTCAGTCGTTAGTAAGCGGTGTATTCATCGCGCAACAGACACAATCAACCATTCGATGTTTCCTACGAAGGTTAGAGTTCTCATAAAGAAAATAGAGAGGCAAGCTATAAGGAATATTTTTGTCCCATCATCTTGTCCATTTGTTGGAGGCACTATTGGCGCTATCGATTGCACTCATGTGCCCATCATAAGTGCCAGTGCCCATCATAAGTGCCAGAAATCATGCCTTTAATCTGTGCAACGTGGATTCTAGACAGAATTTAGTATTATTTTAGGTGCATTGACGAGGCGTCGACTTTTCAATTAATAGTTAAAAAAACTATGGGAAATTAAGTGTGAGTAGAATACGCACAGAACATACCGATCGAGATGCCATATCTTAAACTAGGCTTTCAGCTCCAGCCATAAATGGCGATGCGCAGAGGGCAATGGTTTAGGTGCGGAATTTTGCACTAAAGTTCAATTTCATACAAGCAACTAGAACTCAAAAATAAAGGCGATTTAAAAAATGTGCTTAAAAATTCTAAGAAGAGTTTTGTGAGCTGTTAAAGCATTTTTTCCGTCAAACTACATATCCAGAACTTTAAGCGAACGCTTCACAAGACACTGAGAAAAAGTTTGCTTGTTGAAAGGCATTGGAGCTTTAGCTCAGGGATCAGAATCAATCTATATTGTAAATACAATATATTATTGACGTTTTGAGCCCTATCAAATGTCCTTTAAATAATAATTTTATGAAGTAAATTAATAAAAATTAAAAAATAAAATTTAAAAAAATTAATAAATAATTTTCAGACATTATTTTTTATCACTCATATTTATTTTCTTCCATTATTTCGAAATTAAATCAAAAGCTCTTACAATAAGCTTTTAATTCAGCACGACCAGGAGTGAACAAAAGATTTTTTTTCGTTTTTTTTTGTAAAATAACAATAAATTAGTCACATAACCAATAACTTAAGCTTCTGGGGCAACGGGCAAGTGAGCGCCTTGTGGTTGGAAACCGTTCTCATCAGCGACGTAGGTGACGGTGTAGGTCTGACCATCATCAGCGACGAAGGAGTATGAGCCACGGACAGCGATAGCCTCGTTTTCGGAACCTTCGTTGTGCAATTCACCTTGAGCGTCCTCCTTGATACCGTTGCTGGTCTCATAGCTGGAAGGAAAATAAAGAAATAAATCAATTAATAAAATTCACTGCTAATCTCAAGTGTGTGTGCGTCGCATAAATATCCTTTCATTTTTATATTTTATTTGCACAAACGACTTGTCACAGAAAACTTACGCATAGTTGAAGGAGCTGGGTAGCACGTCCGAATCGAAACGGAGGGTCTGGGCGTCAGAATCAGCTGGGGCTGCGAAGGCTACAGCGAAGAGTGCAACGAAAACAATGACGAATTTCATTTTGATTTTTTTAAATTTGGCGATTGGCTCTATGAGACTAGCAAATTGCGAATGTTGACAAAGTGAGGGCGACTAAACCAATTTATACATTCGGCTTAACTATTTTGAGATGTTTATTAAAACTAGTCCGCTTTTGAGTTTGTTCCTATTTACCGTATATAAGGAAAAATCAAGTTATCACCAAATGTGCATTTTTGTGCATATTTTAACTTCTTCACTTTTCGATATCAAGTTTTTTTTTTTTATTTCTTGCTATTTAATCAGTTGGTCAAAAGGTATGAATTATTTAAATAGCAAACTAGTTCAGAACTAACGGTGTGCGTCAATTGATTTTCTTATCAATGTAGGAATTTGAGAAATGAATTTTTTGTCAGAAACTTGTTTAAGGAAAATATATTATTTATTCTCTACAACTAAATAAATAAATTTAAAGAGACGTACAACAAGCAAGCTTAACACGCGCCACATTTTTCATGTCTTTGCAGGCGGGAGAGTGTAAATCGAATCGTTTTTTATGCACCATAAAAAGAGCAAGTGGTTGATATATGTGGAGAGAATCAAAATATGATATATAGATATATAAAATATCATATATACTACATATATATTAAAAATTGCGCTTCCCAATTCATCTAACTAAATCCAACTTATTATCAAGAGCTTATACGCATAAAAAAAAATAAATAAATAAAAAAATTATTACAGAAAATAAAATTAGAATTCTTTATAATAGTTATTTTCAATATAATTTAGCTTAAATTGTAACCTTTATTTTTATTGATTACCGAGAGTTGAAGTCCAATCAGAGCACCAAAAAATTGTACAACAAATACTCAAAAAAAAGAAGAAATATATATATAATTATGTATACCACAATAAAACTAGTATATACCTCTAAATATTAAATTGATTAACATACATAGCAAAAACACCAACAACAACAACAAAAACAACCATCAAATATGGATTAAAATAGTCTAAAGCTAAAACGTCTAGCAACCAAAATAAAGAAGAGAAGCAAGCCAGCCAAAAGCCACTATACCACATTAACACGCTAATATATTTACATATATTAGCTATCACAAACATGGCTATAAGTGTGTACAAAAATATGCATAAATATAAGCAAATTTCATGTGTTTGTTTGTGACATCTACTTCTATGCGATGACCTTCAAAATATTGTATCTTCGGTGCGACCGCAGTTTGTGTGGCATCATTTTTTCTCTTCTTTTCTTCTACTACTCCTTCTTTTTCTACTTCTTCTCTGGTAAACTGACGTCTTCGAATTTTTTTTCACATCACTTTCGATAGTTACCCTTGAATTTATTTATTTAAACCTTTTTGTATTATATTTATGTGTGCGTTTGTTGTTGTCATTTAAGTTGTGTTTGGGACGCAGATGACTTTTTTTCGTATGCTAATAAATATTAGTAGATTAGCAGCATTTCTATATTATTTACTACACTGAGGAGGTAAATATGTTTATTTTTTTTTTTTTTTAATATAAAAGGTAGTTAGAATCTTGGCTGAAAGTGTAGCAAATCATAAAAATTTATTTGATGAAAAATTTATGGATGCTTAAGAGTTTTGTAATAATTTTGTATATTATTAAAAAAAATAGTAATTTTTTTGATTTTTACTGCATTTTATTTATTTTGGCATATATCTGTACACACGCGCAATATTGATTGCTACTTTGATCGCATTAAATAATTTTGCCCAGTGTGATCACATATATATAAAATTTAATAATTCATTTTTCACTTGTTTGGGTATATGAAAATTAAATAATAATTTTTAAAAAATTTTTTATTTTTAATAAAAGCTCAATATTTATACCTAGAGTAAAAAAAATTGTGCCAGACTTTGCTGGAAAAGAATTATGCGAAAAATAGTCCAAGTGTCCATATTTTCACAATAAATTCGAGTAAAAATTTTGCAGCTCTTTTAACAGAAATCTCGTGTAAAAATTAAACATTTTAGTTGTATTATATTTAATTTTAAAATTTTTTAATTTTTTTATTTAGTTCATTTCAATTCTTTAGTGTATTTTTTTTTTCATTTTACATGATTTTGTTTCATTTTATTTTTTAATTATATATATTTTTTATTTTAGTTAATATTATTTTTTTTATAGTATTAAATTTAATTTTTTTACATTATACTTTATATTATTTTACTTTATTTTATGTAATTTAATTTTATTTTCATCTATAAATTTTTTTTGTTATTTTATTTTATTTTATTTTTTTGTAAGCACAACATTTTTATTTTATTTTACCTTTTTTTAATTAATTTTATTTTTTAATGGTTTTTGCGATCTTTCTTTTATTTTAAATTGAAAATGTTTGCCGGCTTGAAGTCCGAAGAAATAAAAACAATGTAAATAATGTTTTCTCCCCATACATTTCGGCTACTCTTCGCTAACCATCTTCATATATTTGGGGAGAAAACATTATTTACATTGTTTTTATTTATTTGGACCTTAAGCCAGCAAAAATTTTCAATTTATTTTATTTTTTTTTTTTTCATTTAATTTTATTTTATATTATAATATAATATTTTATTTTATATGTTTGTATTTGACTTTAGTTTGTACTAGTTAATCTATATTATTTAATTATTTATTTTATATAATGTTATTTTAATTAAGTTTCATTTATATTTATATTTTATTGATTTTTTAATTTAAAATATATTAATTTATTTATTTTCTATGCTATATAATACTCTAAGCTATAAAATATATTTTTTTTTTAGAAAATCTAGTGAAGTAACATTCATACATTATATGTTTATTAATAATTAAATAAGTAAATAAAAAGTAAATCAAATTATAAATAGCTTAACCAGAAAAGCTTACTTTGAAACAATTAAATAGTTTAAATTGGAATTCGGTGTTTTGAATTAATTTTAATATATTATACTAAATTGGATAAAAATAAATGCATATATTACCTTTGCTTTAGTATATATATATATATAAAGCCCAAACATAAGTTATATTTATCGATTTTATTTTTACAGTTTTAATTTTTATTTATTTCCAGATACTTTCAGTGAAATAAAACAAACAGATAAACCTGAAATTTAAAATATTTTACATGTATAAAAATATTTTGCAAACTGAAGGTTGAAACTGAATTAACAATAAATTCCCAACGTCGAAACATATACAAGTATATTAAAAAGGCGAAAGATTAAATGATCAAGAGAAAAATTATTGGCAATAAAAAGATATTCGATTTTGTTCACTGCATGGTAAAATAATTTTAATACATTTTGTTGTTTAAACAACAGTGTTTACAAATTTTTCAACTTTCAGTTGTGTGCAGCATCCGCTCGCAAGCGCACACATTTTATATACACAATACATATATTTATCAACATATGTACAGCTATGATTGTGTGTTTGCTACACACACTGCTGCACGCGTTGGCAGTGACACAATTTTCGCACAGGTTTTTCAAGCCCTAACAAAATTTATTTGAATTTTTTTATAATTATTTATTTATTTATTTTTTATATTTTTATTATCTTCCCACCTCTGCGCTGGAGCTCTAATCAAATTTTGAGAAATACCACAAAAATGAGCTCATTTTTCACAGATTCACTTTTCGTCTGAATACACACACACACTCATACTGTTGCTATACATACATATGCATATATATACGTAATGTATCTGCACGTCTAACGAATTTTGTATATAAAACTGTGTTAAGTTAATTTTTGTGCACATTGTGCTTTTAGAGTTGTTTGAAATTATACTAACAGTTTGTTAACACCTCAACTGCACGTTTTCCATATTTTTATTTCCCATTTCGTGTATTGGCATTAGAATGTTTCTGAAAAGTTTGCAATTTTTTTGCTAAACACTTAGTTGAAAGTATTTACTCAAATCAAGTTAGGTCATGCACTTGAAGCCGTGCCTATAAATGATTATGTAATTATTGTAATTAGTTTGTTGTTGCTGTTTTATTATGCACCATTGTTTCGGTAAATTATTTTATAACAGTTTTTGTTATTCGCCAGAATGACTTATTACGTCGTTCTAAAATGTGACACTTCATAAATCATTAATTGGATGCCTTGTCACTGTAAAAATTTATAGTTGTAAGGTGTGTCCCTTGGAATGTAAGATTGTAGAATAACAAATTAGGAAATACAATTTTTTGTTAACTAGTTTCACATATCTTCTAAACAGTATTTATCCCGCAAAAACGTTTGTTTCTCCAATAGATTTTCTGACTAAATTTCTAAATTCAATAATTTTTTTAACCAATAAATTGCGAGTTAAGGATTGGATAAAAGCCTGGTTAAAAAATGAAACCCAAACACTGAAATATCTACAATTTTAATAAATTTGATTTTCATATTGTTGATTAAAATACTCATAAGGAATGGAGGGTTTCATCAGTAGTTCTCTTCTACCGAGAATGGGAGATTGATGAAAGTGTATTTATACAGTGACCAAAGCATTTTTACAGATCTTTTCAAATACAATTTCCTTACGAAGAAAACCCGACAGAGCTTCTGTATTAAATTCTCTAGGTCCAAGGCTGCTAAAAACCACAAAAATCTGATAAATAATTTTCTGGCACATTTTTCATAATTATGTAGTTAAATGAGTGATCTAATATTTGTATAATATATAAAATATTCAGCATTGGTTTCCATTTTTTTATTTTATTAAAAATTTATTTTTTTATTTTATTTCATTTTATTCTAATACATTTTATTTATTTTATTTATTTATATATCACTCCAATATTTAATTTTTTTATTATATTTTATTGCATTTATTTGACTTTGTTGTAATTTATATTAATTTTATTAATTTTTTATTTTTTTTTATTGTTTAATTTTTAAATTTTTTTTTTTGTATTACTTTATTACAACTAAAAGTGATAGTTGTTAATTTATGGTCTTTTAATTAAATGCGTTTAAATTTATTTGATATTATTTTATCTTATTATTGTATGATTCATTTATGTTATTTTTTCAAACGAAAAGCCAATTTTATTTATGTAAGTCAATCAAAACACTTAAGACACAAACTTCATCAGAAAGTGTAGTTGAACGCATATAAAAGTTTGTGAAATAAAGTGTATGCACTATGTATGAACACATATACTTCAAACATGGAGTAAGATGGGGGTGTAAGTATTTATTTTATTTATTTATATCAAATATAGCTTACAACATAAATCTTATAAGCTATTAGTTCGGGAGCTATAGCTACTAGGCCTTAAGCTCACTACTTATTTACATATTTACATTTTTCAGTTTAGATTCCTTTTGCTTAAATCTTATGAAAGATATTGATTGATTCGGCTGAGGAAAGAGAGAGAGGCTGAGGGATGTAAGTAATATGTTAACTATAAGCAAAAAGCTCAGCAATTAATTTTTAAATTAAATTAAGTACGTGTAAATTTGTTTACTATATAATTTATTTACCTTTCATCAATAATAAAGAATTTTAATAAAAAATCAATAAATATTCCGCTTCAAAAGTGTTCAAATTTCGATAGCATAAGCCTGATTTCCACAACATGTTTAACTCATAATAACAATTAGTATAAATTAATATTTAAATTTAATTATTTAAAGGAAGTTGACAAATTTTGGACTTCCGTTTCCATCACCAAAGATCACGCAGACGTCACACCATATTTTAGCACTGTCTTACACGTTTTACATATCGTTTTGTTATTTAAAATAGTTTATAGTCTATTTTATATGTCAAACTAAAGAAGTTTTTAGCTATCATTGATGCTATTTCTTTTGCTTTTTATCATCACATATTAGCCATTCTACAAAAGATCAACAAAACTTGTTTTCGATTAATTTACTGGTTTGACGTTCAAATCTAATTTATGTATTAAAGTTCTAATACGTAAATTGTAATTGTTGTTTTTGCGATTCTGCCCATACGGACGTTGGCTAAACATCAAATTTATGCATATTTTGATATTTACCCGTAATATTGATTTTTATGTATGCACATGTTCGAAACTAGCGGTATGCTGTTATATACTTATAATTTATCAAGAATATTTAGTCATTTTTAGACAGGATTTCATTAGCCAATTGAGGTGCGTGTTTGGCTCGTTTCAGCTAGCAAAAACCAGTCAATATTTCATATTTTGCAAAAATAATGTGGTTCATCAACTAAACAAATGAAATAAATCATTGCATTTGCTCATTTTGATTTCTTAATCACTACAAAAAATGTGATAAGAAGATTTATAAAGTGGTATAAATATATTCGCTTAGCTGAAAGTTCCACAGAAGGAAGATTCGAGATTATTTTCTCCACCCCATCAGCATCTTCTTTAGGCAGCCTCTAGTGTCTCTGCATGTCGTTCTTCTTAGCCCATTTCAGCCTGGTGAACCTGGATTTGCGGCAGATTGTAGTTTCATACCACATTAGCGAAGCTTGTTCATATGTAAATTCATTGAGAAGAAGCTTTCAAGGAACTTGTTTGAAACGGATTTATTATTTATATTTTATTATTGAATTATTAAGTGTTGCTGATTGCACAAAACCAGATGAAATAAAAGATATTATGCAAAAATACTAGTTTGGACATGGCTCTTAAGATTAAGGCTAAAGAACTAGCTGAAATTAAAGAAAAGAATAAATAAAAAATATAACAGTTCTTGGCCACCCTTTCCGAAATACTTGAACAAAATAATATCAAAAGTTTTATAGTTCCTACAAATTGTAACAAACTTCACTTAGGCGATTGCATGATGTGGGAGTGTTGCAATTTTATTTTTAGCTTCGTTGAACCGAAGACTGGCATACATAAGTGTATCCAATTAAAACTTCCCCTAGTACCAAAATCGGACTGTAGCTAACTCTCCGCTCTACTTATACCGTAGAATCCTAAACATTTTGAATTTTTTCCAAAGTTTGCATAATAATGAGAACATGGGAAATAACTGCGGTCACCCCTTGGCAGAAAAAGCCAAGCCCTTCGAGTCTATTCCTGTCATGAAATAAAAGCTCACAATAAAAAATCATCAGCCATTCGGAGAAGGATAAGTATAATTATCAGTGATATGTCGGGATCAACTTCAAATTTGTTAGAGGTCAAGCTCATATTATTGTTTGGCTGGTTGTTTGATACAATGAAAATATTGGAGGTCTCACTGCAGACGAACGCACTAGCCATTGAGTAAGCTTATTAATTTCTCCTCGTTAATCCAACTATACGTTATCAAAGTTCAGCCTTTTTTTCACATTTCCTTCTGCCCCTGCTTGCCTACGGCTGAAGGTGGAAAACTCGCAAAGTTATTTCTCTACACTTTTAAAGATACTAAATTCCCTATACCTTAGTGTTAGTAACAGTTTAGACTGCCTTCAATCTTCGCTGTTCCACACCACACCAGACTTTGATAAAGCACCAGGACTTTAACTGACACCGACTGCGCAAGCCTACTCGGCTATTTCCTAGATTTTCATATTAATGGGTAAAGCCACTCTAGTGGTTGAAAAAATAGACATTAATTTATTGTAGGAATAAGAAAAAAGGCATAGTATTCCCATTTACCCATTTGATTGAATATTTTTAAAGGACAAAAAAATATTCTTCAATTATTATTTTGTTACAAAATGGTGGGGATAAGGTCCATCATTTAATCCATGTTTGTTTAAAAGGCGTCCACGGAAGGACCGATTTCTTTTAAAGGATCTACAAACTATGGTCTTTGGAAGTATGTACGTATTTTTATTTTTTAATTAATTTTTGTGAAAGCATCACCCTTTTTTTCCAAAAAAAAAAAATTTTTTTTGGCTAAAAAATACACAATAAATTGTTAAAAAAAACATTTGGGAAGCTACCATCAAAATTTTAAAAAAATCGAAGCAATAGGATCCCAATAATATGTTCTCTCAGTTTGATGTGCGCCTAGAGTGACTTTACCCCTTAATTAATTTTGCTTATTTGACACCTTCACTAATTCCGGCAATCTCTGGTTGGAAGATGGAGTTGTACTCGTTGAAGTTGAAATATCCGCATAATTACTCATAGTCTTATCCTTTTGATCGGGAAAGGCCCTTAAGACTACTATTTGGGTATGTTCATCATTTTTCCGCAATATGCACTCTCTTCGGGCTTACAAAATATATCTTTCATTTTAGACCACTCAGCTGCGATTTTAACTGTCCGCGATAATCTTCCTTTGTACTCAGGTCCTGGGTGTGCTAAAATGCAGTCTGCCATGAAGTTGAGCTTTGCCTCGGAAGGTCTAAAGCCAATGGCAATATCTGTTGTCCCCAGAAGTAACGAAACCCCTTCACCTTTACATGTATTCGAAATATCTACGTTCCTTTGAATGGGTCAGGAAGAGGTTGATATGGCTTTTATTAGTATCCATTTTCGATGTGACTGAAACTGTGTAAGCGATGTCCTCTGAATGGAAATCTAATCTTATCTACTTGTTTTGGTGTTGCTTTACCAGCTGTAGGAATTTGAAACATACTAACGCAAAAAGCGGTCAGACTCTAGTAGATTGATAACACGCTATTGACTTCAAATTAGGCACAGTTGAAGAATGCAAATGTGGCAAATGTAGCAAATGTAGGAAATGGGTGAAGACAGTGCGGAACATAATCTGTGAGTGCCCGGCATTATACAGATAGAGCACGTTTGCACGTTTGCATTCTAAATAGCATGATCTCCAGTCTGTAGTGGTTAAAAGTCCGAAGCTCCCACCTCCAGCATTGTTTTTCACACTGAAGGCGAAATAGGTAGCGTAGCAGTAAATAATATCGGTGGCATGTGGTAACAATATGGAGGATACATCATCTAGGTGATAGTCTAGGTGGGTCTTTAAAGAGGTCAGCAGTTAATTCCAGCCTAATCTATTCCCCAAAGCTGAGGGTTACATGAACAACGAATTGAGCGAAGTGGCTCTTGATTTATTTTTCTTTTTTCGGTAGGAATCGTCAGTTTGTGTCAAGTCATATATCTTTATCTTCACTGATCAACCAGCAGACATCTACTTAAAGGTTGTTTGGTTTATAAGTAATCACGATGAGACTTGAAATTTAAACGTCCATAGTGAATATTTTATAAAAGAAAGCATTTATGACTAAACAAATTTTTTTTTTAATTATACTTTAAATAAAATGTTTTTGAAAATACTTACGCTCCCAACTTTAACACTAACCATATACCACACACATCATCAAATAAAAAATCCACTTCCAGTACTTTTTAAGTATGCATGCAATTTATTATTATTATTTTTTATTCGTTATCGAGTATATTAACTAGGTACAATTTAAACACATTTTCTGGTACCAAAATTTGCACCGTTATTACTAAGAAACACTAAAATTCACATTTAGCTGACTAGTTTGATTGAGGGATGATAGCCGAGCTCATCAGCAGTGAAGACAAGTTCGAATTTCTTGCCATCGGGTGCAGTCCAAGAGGTAGAGCCGTGCACAACGATTGCGGCATTATCATCGATGGTCTTAAGTTCACCCTCCTCGGTGCGCGATATGCCATTGCTGGTATCGTAACTATAAGAGTGAAAATAAGTAAAATAGTAATTATTGGCATTAATAAAGCGATAAGTATTTAAAAAAAAAATTAAATAATGAAAAAAAACACAAAACTAAAGTAATTTATTAAAAAATGGAAATTCATTTTTTGGAATGAAAAATTTTAAAGAATATATTAGATATTGAAGGAAATTTGAAATATTAAACTCAATTTATAGACCACACTAAAACTCATTTTTTTTTTTCTGCCAAAAACTTACGAAAATGAGTATTTGTCCACGCCATTATTCTCGGCTTCCAGACGCAACGTCTCTGCCTTCTCATCCCCTTCGTCGGGGCGTGGTGCAGCCAAGCAGACAGCAGCAAAGCAAGCGAACAAGAAAACAATTTGATATTTCATTTTTTATTTTTTATTAATTTTTTCTCTGGGTTAATGGATGTTTCCAGTTGTAGTTTCTATGCTGTAGAATCTTAATCCCTGATTTGGTAACCTGCACTGTGTAAGCACTGGCTGTACTGATATTTCACAAAACCACGCAAAGCCTTTTATACCAACTGGAAAGCCGGGGAAGATGCGCTACACTTATTTTACGATTATTTCATACTTTGTTTGCTTTTTTTGACACACTCACCACTTGTAGCACTCGTAGGTTGTGTTTAAAAAAAAATGAAACAAACAAATTTAAAATGTCCTCATCACAAAAACATTCATATACAACAACGGTTGGTATAAACAATAAATACTATATATGTTTGTTTGTATGTACGCACATCATTGCACTGCCGATGGCCAAGCTGGCCGTAAAATCACAAAAGCTGGCAAAAAAAAAATAAAAAAAAAATAAAAAAAAAAATATTTATTAAAAATAGCGCCGCCACTCCTGCCGTACCATTTACCATTTACCAATTGTCAAAAACTCTTTTAATTACACATTAACACAATCCGCTTTTTCGCCGTTCTTTTTTTTGCCTACACTTGTGGTCGCGATGATTTATTTGTTTGCAACACTTTTTCTTAAGGTATTTTGTGTATACATGGCCCCCACACCTCTGTGTGCTTTTTGTCCAGCCAAAGATCTATGTTTAACATTTCCCACCTCCCTTCGGTGCTTTCTGCAATAAATCTCCCTCTCTCTCATCAGCCATTTCGGACACTACTAACACTAGTCCATGCAACTCGCCCAAATTTCTTTGTCCGGCTTCTGTTCAACATATTCATGTCAAAATTGAATTAATGCCATACTAAATCTCTTTTTCATAATAACCAAACACACAATACAATATATTAATTAGTACTTTGGTGCAATAAAAAAAGAAAAATAATTTTAAAAAATCAGAAATTGATCGATGATGATGCCAGCAATTAGATGCTTTGGCGTGAAATGGAACCAGAATATTTCTTGACAAAAATAATAACAAATATAATATAATAAATATGTGATAAATATTGTACGAATGCAGTTTGTATTTATTTGGCATTGTCGTAAATTTCAATATTTTTGGACGGATACTCTAATACAGTTGTTTCTGAGACCCCAAAACAGCCCAAACAAATGTTGAAAATGAGTAATATGAAATTTCTTTTTTAATTCCTTTTTGACAAAATTTTGTTATGACTCAATATATAATTAACAGTAATTTGTTACTGCGCACATGTGACGACAGCGTACAGTGTATTTGCAGAGTTCAACAGTGTCGGTTGGGATACTTTTTTATTACAAACAATTCTTAAATATATAAAAGGGGAAAAAAATCACATTAAGAAAAGAAACCATAATCGACTGAAAAAATATATAGAAAAATATTTTGGAAGTGTACAAATTAGTTTGGTCTGTTTTTTTTTTGTTTCGAAATATTTTTTTATTGAAATAAGAAAAAAATTAAATCATTGCAAGTTTTGCTCACCAAAAGCGATTATGTTTTACAATCTCGCTGATAATTTTCGAATAGCATCCTTCAAAAATGAGTCCTCTCTGCGATCGATCCAATAATTGCATAAATACATACATACATAAATATGTGTATTTCTTACCGCACCGTTGGCTCCTAAATCGTGTTGCCTCCGTTGAAAAGGATAGCAGTCAGCTAGTAGTAGGTGGGAAAAGACCGGTTGAATCCTTATATATCAGCTCTTCGCCTCAAGGTTTCCTAGTTTTACGAAAATTTTTCATTTTAAAACTTTATAGATTGACCAGAACGCGCTTTATACTCGATGTTAAAATCTTTAAATAAAAAATGAAGCATCGAAAAAATTATTTGCATGACTCATCGGTATATTAAATTAAAGCCGGTATTGCTGCCGAATTGCAATCACTTTTTTAAGCAGCATTTACTATAGTGGATCGCCTCGAAATTTCTGAAACCAACCATTGTTCCTTGTCCTTATCGTAATATTTAGGTACCAAAAATATTATTTTAGGTAAATTGAAAATTGACTTTTGGACATAAAAGGTGATCAGGTGCAGTGATAGATGACATCTGATGAAGAGATGTAGTCCGCTTCTTCTATTTTGTATTTGTAATATAAAAAGTACTCACTTTTGTTTACTAATTTATACATATAAACTTATAGTCAAACCAAAAAACTAATTAGAAGGAATAGTTTGGTCGGAATGTCTGCATATCGAATTGAAATGTTGGAAAAATTTTGAATAACTTATTAAAGTGCCCAGATGTATTGAAAATAAATAAATTTATATTAATATGACATGAAGTACAAGATAGTACTTTTCTGGAATTTCAGTTTTTTACTTAAATTTCTCCTGTAGATATACCGTAAAGATGGCTGTTGAACTTCTGGCAACAAAACTAATCACTGTTATTAAACGTCGAAACTGAGCTTCCAAACCAGTCGACATGGTTCCAATTTTCATTGTTAAGAGTCCGATATAGAGTTTTCAAAATTCTGTACCATCACTATTTCAAACTCAAATGGGTGTTACATTTTTCGAATAATTAAATCTACAAATGTATCAAAACAATCTTTTATTAAGTGATAAAGAGTTTGTGAAAATAACTATTTTGATTAATTACGCTATTATCATCCTACCCGTAGCTTTAAAAGAAATATATGAAATGATATTACTTTCACACCCTTTCCTACGAAAAATAATTGAAGCTTAAATCAATTTTCTAAAGCAAGTTAATTGGTTCACTTACTCAATATTTAAGGGCTAAGAACATTATGACTTTCCTTATAAAATCAGACAAAGATACTTCCCTCCCAGAGGATACATAAGTTTCAGGATATTAATTAGCGCGCTGAACTTGAGACACCCTCATCATTCTTTCGAAAAATTGCTGTTTTTCAAAGGAAACCACAATTTACGTTAGACAATTTTCTTAAAAGCAGCAAAGCAATGCAGTGGCACTCCTGATGATCTTGGCAGAATAAGGAATATCCTATCTATGAAAAGCAGATGACTCCGTACAAGGAAGTCGTCGCAAAAGTTGGAGTAGCGAGATAGAATGCCAGCTTAGCAGTCATGTCATGGGTTAAAGCAAAGAGAAAGGAATATAACCAAATTTCGCTGTCTCAAAGGTACTTCGATATATTGTTATTGTGCCTTCTTAAAGCAATCATCTGGAGGCATCGCCGTCTTAGTCTTCGCTTAAAGCATTGTTGTTCTATATGAAGACTAGACTATCTCGAATTAGATCGAAGCTCCATCAAAATAATAATACCCTAAAATTCAGGTGGAACAGCAGAGTTGAATGTGCAATGTCTGTATAACTTTGAGTTATAAAATTAGATTTGGAAGCATTTTTTTATTTTAATTACATCATTATTAATCTGAACTTGTTTAGGCAAAAAAAGAATTTGTGGAATTTTCTACGCAATGTACTGTATTAAAAGCTAAATAATGACTATTTAATTTAACTGATTATCTAGGTTTTTGAGACGCTAGGCTCCCACTCCCCGACATGTGCATGTGTATGTACGTTTGTGGCATACGTGTATTTCACTATGTGTGTGTAAGTAATGTCGGTCACAAATGGGAAAATTTCCTAAAATTATTGATGAAGTAAAGAAATAGTATCTCAATTGGTTATTCGTATTTATTACGATTTATTTGACCAGCAATTCATCGAAAATGCATTTTTGCCTTCACAAACCAAAGACTTAAGAAGCGAACTCGCTCGAAGATACCAGCGATGCATTGCCACAATCCATTTTTACAATCTTACAAAGAAAACAATTTTTTTAAAGAATAGTATGAGTCCCATGTAATACTGTTACTTTCAAATAAAAAAAATCTTTATTTTCTTCTCATTATATAATATTTATATTACACTAAAATTACATATAAAAAATAATTAATTTCATTTAATCTCACTATGAGTTTTAACCTTAAACATGCGGCAAATGATCGCCAATTGGTTGGAAACCATTCTCATCGGCAATATAATTTAATGTATATGTTTGACCATCAGGTGCAACCCAACTGACCGAACCACGTATAACAATCGCTTCCTGTTCGGTGCCGACGTTCTTCAACTCAGCCTCTTCCTGACGCGTCACACCGTCACTGGTCTCATAGCTAGGATAAAGAGAAAATTTGTTTTCATTTAATATTATATATATGTATGTATATTATTTAATTTATAAGTACATTTTTCGAGAGGTGATAAAATGTTTTTAAGAGAATTATTTATTATTTTAAGGCGTTAAGTACACTTTTGATTGTATAAAATTTTATGAATTTCGATTTCATAATTGATATTTCTCTTTCATAGCTTGAGTAAAAACTTAAAATATGTTAACGTACAAAATCTTGAGTTGAGTTTTAGAATTTTAGTTTTTGAAATAAAGAAAGAAAATTTCAGTTTTTAAGTAGACCATTATTTGGCAAATTTTTTAGCAGCCTGGCCTGATTTAGAAGAAATTGCAGAAAAATAATTCAATAAAATATTAAGTTTTTCCATATTTGGTTGCCAAGGGTTACAAAGTGCCGGCTATATAAATCTATATTTAAATTTTATATAATTTTGTAATTTTGTAATTTGTAATACACATTCGAAGCCTGTTTTAAATTATTTCTGTTGATAGTTAAGAATACATTTAAGATAGGAAATTAGCAAGGAACACGGCTTAAAAATGAATTTACAAAATTTCAATGTAATTTAGATTTTAGCTTAACAATTCATAACTTTTAATTAATATCCTTAACCTCTACTGAGGTTAGAAACCAAAAAAAAATAAAATAATATAAAATAAAAACGACTATTAAAAACCAGAAAGAATATATATATTTTTACAAATTTAATAATAATAAATAAAAATAACCAAGTTTATTTTAAATTTAGAGCATAAATTTAATAATGAAAAAAAACATTTCCAAAAATAAATTTAAAAATTTTCAAAAGTATTTCAAAATCATCCAAGCAAAGTCAAAGAAAAATTGAAGAATAACCTAACTTTCTCAAAACGAAGTAATTACTACCTTTAATTGTTTCGTTAAATGTTAATCAATTTTAAAACCAGATAATCATTATACACTTTAGGGTTAGTGACATGTTCTACATTATATATATAATTGGGACTATGTAACCGCCAAAGTGATTTTCGGCCGAGCTTGAAGAGTTTTTTTCATGTCAGAAACGCAATATGTGGGGTTGATACTCCCTGCCGAGGGGCCACAGCATTTAGAAAATAAAGCTTAGGTTTTGTTTAAATTAACTTTCTATAACTTTTTTTGGATGTTAATGCGACAACAGGACTTGAACCCGAGCCTTCCGAATAGCAGTACACAATACTAGCCATAACTGGCTACTGTGGCTGAACCACCCTAATACATATACATTTTTGCTATTGTACAAAAAGAGTAGGATTAAGATTTTTATATTAATTTAATATAGTTTTTCGGTGTATCAGAATAAAATAATTTTTTTTTTTAATTTCTTTATTTAAAAAGTTAACCATTTCATAACCAAATCCGATTTATAATAGAGAATGAATAGCCGAATATTTATTACTCTATTTTCTTGATTTTTCTTGATTTCTTCTTTTATTATTTAGTAAAATTATAATTTTTTTTAATATTTTCAAAGTAATCATACTTCAATTCACCACGCCAAATTCTCTTAAAACAAATAGCCAAAAAACACTAAGAACACTTTCGCTGTCACTCCCCCCGCACACTCACCCAAATTTGTATCCATCGGCAATATTCTCGTTATCATAACGCAAAATCTGTGCGTTGGCTGAGTCGTCGAGTGGAGCAGCAAAGGCGAAGGCAATTAATCCACAGAGCGCCAGGATACTCACGGTGAACTTCATATTGTTTTTGTTGTGATTAAATATTTCACTATTTTAGGAATAAATATTCGAGTGTTTGTGTTTCCCAGATATTGTTACCGCCGCGCTTGTCGTTATCCCAATTACGCTCGCTAACTAATGCAGTATAATTAACAATGTCAGACGCTATTTATACGTGGTATGTGTTTCGGAGAATCCAATAAAGTACTGTGTGTATGTACGTTAATGAATCTTTGGCTATACGCACTTGTTGAGTTTATACATACATATATACATACATTCCTATGTTCATATATATGTACACGGCCAAGTGCTGTGCATTCTGCAATACGCTCGTGGGCAAATAAACAAGTAAACAAAAGTATGAAAACTAATAGTAATAACAAATGTAGTAGATAACAACAACAACACTAAGTGCAAAGTAGAGGAGTAAATTGAGATTTTTGTACCTTATTTGTATAACGAAGCAGAAGCTCTTAGATACATAACGTACATACAAACGAACATAACACACAAAATATGTATGAACTCGTACGTATGTAGTCGCATCTAACACCACAAAGTAATCAATAAAATTTCGTTAAGATATTTTCAATCTGCAATAACGCCAAAAATCCCAATCGATAGTGTGAAACAGAGTCGGAGAGAATTGCAGCAGTCATAAAAAAACAGCAAAAAATTAGAAAAAAAAAACAAAAATTAAAAATAAATAAATACAAAATTAGAGAAAAAATTTAATAATAAATAGCCAAGTACATTTGATAAATCATTTTTGGCCATTATAAATTTTACAATTTTTATTACATACATAGTACCTACATACGTACACACACATATGCGCATATGAATGCTTTTTAATGAAGCCCAAATTATGTAATTTAACTGATTATCTAGGTTTTTGAGACGCTAAGCTCCCACTCGCCGACATGTGCATGTGTATGTACATTTGTGGCACACGTGTATGTCACTGTATGTGTGTGCGTGTGTTTGAACGTTGCGGTCATTAACCGCAAAACAACAAAAAACCATTAAATGCGCTGCTGACGCTTTGAGCTTCATCAACTAGTAATGCTGCTGCTGCTGCTGCCGCCGCTACTACTGATTAGCATTTGACAATTGTGCTATTCATGTATAAAATCATACAAATATGCATATATACATATACGTATAACATACATACATAGCATCGCATAGACGCCAATTCGCCTTACTATTTGTTTCTCTATTGAGGCGCATCTAAGTGCTGCCATTCAATGCTATACATAAGTTCATAATAAGCCAAAGGAGTACATATATACATACATACATACATATATACATACATGTGTACATAGTACTTGTAAAGTTGAAAACAATGCATGTAAAGTGTAGATGTTTTTTAGTTGGTTTATTTGAAAGCAATTGATCTTTAATGGTTGTTAAGTTGTATTTGTTGCTGTAAATTATTTGCCATTCAATACTTTGGCTGAACGTGTGAATGGGTGAAGTGAGGAACACGGCTGACTTTAACAACAGCTACATTTTTGTTATTTATTTACTTGCGACGGAGTAATTTTTTATTTAATAAAATTTTGTATTCTTCGGAATTCTAAGATAGCGATTTCTTGTGTTGGCTTAGCTTTGCCGTGCGACTCTACGATACAACTTTGCGAGGTACTTCTGTTGACAAATACAACCACTTTTTGCCCACTTGGAGCTGGTTTTAAAATGTTTGTTAATATCTGGTTCTCATACTTAGCCCCAAAGTTTCATTTTCACTCCCAGATTAGGAGCAGATTAAGTTATCACGGTGAAGAGACTTAAGAAAATAAATGATAAGTGATCCAAAAAAATTATAGCTAACGTTCCGCATCAGTCCAACAGAGCTTGTGGGCGCCTCCTCCGAATAAAACCAATTTATGCATATATATATATATATATTTATCATATATGAGGTGTGATCAGAATATACCCGTCATTTTCAAATTTCGTCAGTTACGAGTGTTCGATTTTAGTTATTTTCTCTTATGTTGTTACACATGTCTGTTACATATGTAAGCAATATCATCCATTTTGGATTGTCAGTTTGTTTTTGACAGATAAAAAGGTAAGTCGATTTGTTACTATTCGAAAAAAATGGATCAAAAAACTTTATAAAGTTTTGTTCAAAAAATTAAATTAAATGCGTAAGGACATTTGAAATATTACCTGCAGCGTTTGGCGAGTCTACTATGAGCAGAACACAAGTTCAATTGTTGTTTAAGCAAGGCCGAGTAGATGTCAATGGCAATGCTCGTCCTGGTCGCCCGAGCATTACAACAGCCGATGAGAATATTGAAGTACGAAACACTATCAGAGAGGTTGCTAATGATGTTGGCATGTCGTTCGGCTCATGTCAAGCAATTTAGCAATTTGCGGCAGCAAAGATTGTTTCAAAAATGCTAAATTTTGAGCAAACAAACAACGTCGCATGGGCATGGACATCGCTCACGGCGATCCAGATGACCTCAAAAAGGTTATAACTATTAACGCATCATGGGTGTACGGCTACGACATTGAAACCAAAACCCAATCATCCCAATAGAAGCGTCCAAAAGAGCCAAGACCGAAAAAGGCAAGTCAAGTTTAGTCTAATTTGAGGGTTTTCCTCACTGTTTTTCTTCAACTGGAAAGGCGTGGTACATCATGAATTCTTGCCACTAGGTCGCAAGTTCCTAGAAGTTATGCGCCGTTTGCGTGAATCAATTCGTCAGAAACACACACAATTGTGGAAAGAACAACCATGGAATTCGCACCATGATAACGCACCAGCTCGCACATCAATGCTTGTGCGTGAGTTTCTGGTCAAAAGCGAAAACCGTTATTTACCTCAACTACCATATTTAACAGACTAGGCCCCCGCTGACCTTTTCCTCTATCCAGAACTGAAGACAACAATGAAAGGAAAGCGTTTTGCTACGAGTGATGAGATAAAAGGACAATCGAAACAGGATATTAGCGATACCATAAAACGCGTGTCAGAAGTGTTACGAGAACTGGAAAACACGCTTGCGTAAGTTTTATATGTGAGGGGGGCAAAATAGTTACTGCTGAATAAATAAATAACTTTTGAAAAAATTTAAAATAAAGGTCATTTTCTGATCACACAAAGCATTGGCACTATGTAACCGCTGAAGCGATTTTCGGTCGAGCTCCTAATCCAGTTTTTAGTTTCACGTCTTGATGTTTTGCCTTCAAGTGGCGGAATCCATAGTTTGTTCCCATCAGCGTATCCGTATGGACGATGGATTTTTTGACAAGCTTTTATTTCATGTCACTTAAAACACTCAGAGTGTTTAACATTCCCTGCCGAGGACCGAACTCAACCTGAAAAATGAACTTTCTATTTTATTGGATGTTTGATCAAACCGGAAATCGAACTCTAAGCTTCAGAAATTCATTTTTATTTTTATTTTTCATGACGTAGAAATTTTCACAACCCCGCCATTCGTATTTAGTTGTTGTAATGTTTAGTATACCACGTCTGAATTGTATTTCCTAATAATTTCTGGCAGATCTGTGCATAATCATACCAGCGCAAAGTTCACCGTTTGAGACTCGTTACAGGCAAACTCATTTTTATTTTAGTTGAAATGAAAATTCAACATGCCTGATTGAACTGGTATACAACTAGTAAGAATCTGATGCATAGTCGGAGAACTGCCAGGTGGTAGGACATCCCCAAGCCAAAAATATTAGTTGCTTATATGGGAAATAGATGGAAAATATACTTGTTAGTGTAAACAGTTGTATTCCGGTTATTAGCTAAAATTCTTCCCTGCAGGGAAGTAATGACACATACCAATATGCATAAAGTAAAGATGCAAACAGTCGTGAAAAGTAAAGCTTTGCATTACAATGGCACATACACAACTACAACTAATAACTGTTGTTTTCGAATCGTTATAATTTCTGGTTAGCGTAAAATATTTTAATTTTTATTTTTATCTTGTACTTAATTCACTTCTTAACGCAATGCAATTTTTTCAATATGTGGATAACCTTAATAATATAGAAAAAGAGATAAAAAAAAACAATACCAAAATTATGGAAATGACATTAAGAGTGATGAAAATAAAAAATTATTAATTATACATAAATCAATATTAATAACAACAGCAGTATAAATTGAGGAAGAAAATAGCAACAACGACCATAGTTCAGCAGCGACAGCTCGAGGCTGCACACTTATCGCTCAGCATAAGTAAATAGTTTTATATATACAATATATATAATATATATATGTATATTCATATTCTGTACGATGCTCATAAGCACTTGTGCACCAAATTGGCTGGTAAATAACACCCGTAATGATGAAGGCAAATACACTGCAGTGCCCAATGTGGGACAGTGGGTATGCACAGGCGCAAGAATACACGGCGATGAAATTACTCAACTGAAGACACGTGTGAAAGTTTAGTTAACTGTGATTTCAATTGTATGCTTAAACTAATTTTATTTAATGCTAGACCTCAGTGTTTCGAAAGAATTCTATGTCTGATGTAAAAGGCGGTTCTTTTCAAAATTTACTTTTCTATTAATGAAAAATTCTATAAAAATTGCAGTGAAAATTAAATTTTATTTCATAATATTTTTTTTATACAGTTTGTGCTTCCAAGCAAGTAAACAAAATAGTAAAAGAGTTGTTTTGTTCATTAAGTAAAGTATTTTTCCCAAGTCCATGCAATGCCTTAGCAGCCCACTGTGAGATCGAATAAAGTATGCATAAGAATATAATATCTACAGGAAGGCACTCAACCATGATATGTGATTTAATTATGATGTTTGAACTACAGGTGTCATTATTAATTGAATATTTTCTAGCTAATTGCTGATTTGTAACAAAAAAAATTATTCAAAAAATTAACAATTCAGAATTAATATATTTTAGTCTAGTGAAAAGTAATGAAATGTCTTTTCCAGCATCATCGATTGCCATTTAGCAGACTAGAGAAGTGTTTCCTGCATACATCAATATGCTCTAGACATTTGTCAACCAAATTTCCACATTTATTCCAAAATAGGTGTGCTGCTCTCAAAGCCTTCGATTGCAAGGTTGCGACGTAGGCACTTTGTTGTTCTCCACTGCAGCTCGACATAGCTCATCGTACTACCTCTTTTATTGGACAT